GAAGTGAGAAGTGTGAAGTGAGAAGTGTGAAGTGTGAAGTTTGGAGTGTGAAGGAAGCAGTGAGAAGTGAGAAGTGTGAAATGTGGAGTGTGAAGTGTGAAATGCGAAGTGAGAAGTGTGGACTGTGAAGTGTGAAGCGTGAAGTATGGACTGTGAAGTACGAAGTGTGAAGTGTGGACTGTGAAGTGTGAAGTGTGAAGTGTGGACTGTGAAGTGTGAAGTGTGAAGTGTGGACTGTGAAGTGTGAAAGTGTGAAGTGTGGACTGTGAAGTGTGAAGTGTGCAGTGTGAAGTGTGAAGTGTGAGGTTTGGAGTGTGAAGGAAGCAGTGAGAAGTGAGAAGTGTGGAGTGTGAAGTGTGGAGTGTGAAGTTTGAAGTTTGGAGTGCGAAGAGTGCAGTGTGCAGTGTGAGGTGTGGAGTGTCGAGGGAAGGACACGGTCGGGACAGGGTGTCTTTGAACTATAGGTCATTTATGTTTGGGAAACTTCCGCCGCCGGCTTGCCCGGGTCTATGTCATAATGATAGTAAATTGATATCAATTGAAAGTAAATTGAAATCAATTGAAAGTAAATTGAAATCAATTGCAAGTACATTGGAATCAATTCAAAGTAAATTGAAATCAATTGAAAATAAATTGAATTGAAATCAATTGGAAGTAAATTCAATTGAAATCACTTGAAATCTATCATTTTTTTGATTCCACACTATTGTGTATCCCGGTCTCTTGAAATTTCCACACTATTGTGTACCCTAAATTTGCTGAGGGGGGGAGGGAGGGGGGGGCTCCCTACATTAATCTGTATTCCACATTTCTGAAGATGAATCGGTCCACGTTGATAGCAACATTCATCAACCCCTGCCTTTCGCAATTTAGCAAGGAGTCTTTCGTCTTGTAGTGTGTGTGTATGGTGATGCCGTCATTAATTGTAAACAATATGCCTCCCGAAAGCGAAAGGCCACGAAAGATTGTCTTGTAGACTGATGTAGATTGCAGATCCGGGGAATCCAGGGTTGGTACGAAGTATTGAAGTGCTGTCAGTTTGTCCTTTGGAGTTGAACCCTAGTTCTTCTCCTGAGCTTTGCAGTCTGCCTTTGTGCAAAAGAAAAGGAAAAAGAAGGGATGCCAATAAGCATTGCTGCTAGATGCCACAAGAACAGCCTTGCAGCCTGAAAAAGGTTTGAGCTGAAGATGCCTAGGTTCCTTCACCCTGGGTTCGCTTGGAGATATTGCCTTTGCCACCCGCGAAATGCTAGCCAATGTGTGTGACAATAATCTTCCAACCTTGGCACTTGCAAGGCGCCTTCTGTTTGTTAACTACAAGGGGATCCATGTGGGGTCATGTGGGGTCCATGCACAACGACTGTCACGACTGTTGTTGTCATCACACTTCTTCAAAGTTCCAAATTCCGTGCTGCAAATCGCTCTGCAGGCAGGATATCCTCACTATTACTGAGCCTCAAGTTGGTCCCACTCCTAGTGTTTTGTGATTTGGAACATTGTGGAACATTCAATTTTGCGATGTTCTTGGCGCCTGATTCAATTTGGATGCTTTCATGCGCTTCATTCATATTGCCAATGGACCAAGCAGCCATGGTGGCAAACTGTCGATGTGCTGCCGGTCATCATTGAGTCCAAGATCTAAGGTTTAAACATGAGCTTCTATGTATTGCCTCCCAAAGGACACAAGTCAGAGTGCTTGTGTCAAACAAGAAGATAATGTGAACCTTTTTCTGTATCATGTCAGATTTGCGGGACAAGGATATTGTATACCGTATACCCAAGTGACAACATCAAGGGCAACCTAAGTAGGTGCTTTCCTCGTTTTGTCTTGGTAGCTCTTCTTGACAGTTCTGGATTTCTGTTGCTGGTGCTGTTTGCACCTCGATTTTCCCCAAACAGTGTTTCCACACTGAAGGGTTCTTACGGTAGGGGTTAAGGCCGGGGTTAGATCAGGGTACGCTCTCTGGCCCCCAGCATATTTTGCTGTAAATTCTCGCATGGAAGTGTCCAACTTGTGAGATGCCTATTATGTGCATTTCGACTGCGCAGGCTCGCACAAAGTGCGGGCCTAAGTTTTGGCTCTTCCGAAGGTTTCGTTTTACTAGCGCGCCGCACTCGTTTTTTGAGTCCTTTTTATGTGGCAAGGGTAGGACATCCGGGACATTTTGAGGTCAGAAACGATTTTTTTGCGTGGCAGACGCAGGACATCGGACACTCTTTCATGTGCGTGGCACGCGTGGGACTTTCTGCAGGTTGCTGAACGTTGGCAAAGCGTGGGTCAAAATGAGAGGTGCTTTTGGAGTGTTTTTTCGCAGCAGGCGCTGTATTTTATGAACTTGGACGATGCGAGCAAATCGCGTTATGTGAAACATTGTGAAACTGTCGTGGGGTTTGATTTGGGACATGTGAATATTGTGGCAGGCGCAGGACTTCGGATGCCTCGGGCGCATTTTTCGTGGCATGCGCAATACTTTGTAGACCTCGACAAAAAAGTTGCTGAGACCTAGGTGAAGGGCCGCTTTTACTTTTTCAATGTTCATTTGTCGTGGTGCGCGCAATGTTTTGTGAAAATCTAGCATGTGCTCCCGAAACCTTCTCAGCACTTTGTGCGTGCCAGATCGCTCTCGCTGGGGCGTGGTGCTGCTTTTTGCTGCTGCTGTGAGATCCCGGCAAATAGAATGAAATAGATCTGATGAATTCGCTGGACGGTCTTCCTATGAAGATCTTGAAAGAATTTCATGATGCAGCCTTAAATGCCCTCAATATATTTGATGGTCTTGACCAAGGTCTTGTAGAGGGCCTTGTGAGAAGATGTTGTAAAGATTTTGATGAAATCCTCTTTGATGTCCTTGCATGACCTGCCTACAGGTCCTTATGAGAAAATCTTGTGAAGATCCTGCTGAAAACCTCCAAGAGGTCCTTGCATTAAGATCTTGCGAATGCCATGTTTTTGAGGTCCTTGCAATGAAGATCCGGAAGATGCCCTGCCTTTTTTGGGGTGCTTGTATGAAAGCTGTTCTAGGATGCTCTTGGGAGGTTCTTGCATCAAGGTCCTGCAAGGCCTCTTCAGCCTTCAGCAGTATGGCGATCCTGTGAGATTCTCGTAGAGGTCCAGGCATGAAGATCTTGGTCAAAGCCTTTTTGCAGGTCATTGTGAGAAGATCTTGAAGAGATCCTGGTGAAATCCTCTAAGAGACCCTTGCATGATCTTGTGCAGGTCCTTGTGAGAAGATCTTGTGGACGTCCTGTAATTCCTTGCGTCAAGATTTTGAAGATCTTTTGCAATAGAGGCGCTTGTATGACAGTTCCTTTGGGATGCTCATAGGAGGTTGTTGTATGAAGATCTTGCAAGATTTTCTGTGTAAAAGGATGTTCCTTGATGATCTTGTGAAATTCTCTTAGGTCGTGCCAAAACAAGCTCCTGTTGCAATTGCCATAATGACATAGGTACTGCTGCTTGTATCTGGCACATCGATTTCCTACCCACACTGTTTAGGGTCTCAGTGTAATGTTTTTTTGCAGCTTGTAACTGTGGAGATCTTAGCACCAGGGTTAAGTCGTATCGGGAGGCCGTGCGCCTGCAAAAAGTTCAGCTTTGGCATCACCACAACTTTCAATATTGTTTGGAGAGCCGTGCGCCTGGAAAAATTGGAAATTTTGTATTGCGCTGATTTTTAGTACTTATTTGATTTTCAGGGGGGCATACACTGGTTGCTGCTGCTGGCTTGCTGCTGGCTTGCTGCTGCTTGCTGCTGCTTGCTTGCTGCTTGTTCGCTGCTTGCTTGCTGCTGCTTGCTGCTGCTTGCTGCTGCTTGCTGCTGCTTGCTGCTGCTTGCTGCTGCTTGCTGCTGCTTGTTGCTGCTTGTTGCTGCTGCTTGCTGCTGCTTGTTGCTGCTGCTTGTTGCTGCTGCTTGTTGCTGCTGCTTGTTGCTGCTGCTGCTTGCTGTTGTTGTTGTTGTTGCTGCTGCCGCTGCCGCTGCCGCTTGCCTCTGGCCTCTTGCCTCTTGCCTCTTGCCACTTGCCGCTCGTCGCTCGTCGCTTGCTGCTGCTGCTGCGGGTGCTGCTGCTTGCTGCTTGCTGCTTGCTGCTTGCTGCTTGCTGCTTGCTGCTTGCTGCTTGCTGCTTGCTGCTTGCTGCTGCTTGCTGGTGCTGGCCTGCTACTGTTTGCCTGCTGCTTCTTGCCTGCTTGTATTGACTTTGTGCCCTTCAAAATCATCACTGTGCGCAATGCTTCGGTTGCTTTTATCCGATCACAGATGCAACGGGCTGTGCCATGCTGATATGGTGATTCTTCTTCCCTGACGTGACTTTCCACTACCTGCTGTGACTTTTCTGTATCGCCGCTGTGACATCCCCTCAAGTTTCTCATCCTATTCCGGCTTCTATCATGGGGATGTTGTGTCTTTCCCCGCTTGATGTGACGTAAGTACGGTGTTGGTAGGGGGCTGAAGTTAGTTATAAGATGTTATAAGAACCGGCAACTGCTGGTTGATTTGTTTTTCCCCAATGTGTGCCAAAACTGCTTTGTTTGCGACAGGATTCTCGCACTACTGCGTGGCAATGCTGCGGTTCGCTGGGTTTGGACCAACGGCACCTCCTTTCACCATTACGCCAGCACCGCCAATTCGGCAGATGTTACAGGCGAATAATTATTTCAGAAATCCCTACCCCCTTGGCTTGCCGAAAACCAGGGGGACCCCAAAAATGTAAGATACAATAATTCTTTTTGACCCCCCACCCTCCATATAGCTATCATACAAGGTGAAGGGGGAAGGGCAAACAAATATAACATGTACCTCCCGCCTGCATGTTACATTTGTTTAGCCCCCCCCCTTCCATACGAAGAAACCATACGTAATCTTTTGCGTAAGGGGGGGGGGGGGACCCCCCCCCAACAAGCATATGTTACAGGGGCCCAAGAAAATGTAACATAGACGTGGGGAGGTATATGTTACATTTTTTAATGTTTTTACATATATGTTAATACATGGTTATATATTTCTTGTTGTTCATTGTTTATTTGTTTGTGTTTTTTATTTAGGCAGACCTTAGGCAGACCTGAAGATACATGAAAACATCGACAATGCTGATGATATCCAAAAGGCTCCAAGTCCTAAGTTACTTACGCCTCGTGAAATTTCACGCTCGGTGAGATGTGTGCGCACTTAGGTAAAATGAAACATGCAGGGACTAGGGTAAGAAACTACTGTATTTTGCAAGGTTTGGGAGCCCTCCCAGTGCCATATTACATTTTTGATCTGTAGATCCCTGCGATTTGCAATGCTTGTGCGCGTACGTAAAATGTAACATGCAGGGGCTAGGGTAGGGAACTACTGTGTTTTGCACGGTTTGGGAGCCCTCCCAGTGCCATGTTACATTTTCGACCTGTTGATCCCTGCGATTTGCGATTCGCGATGATGCGCATGCGCGTATGTAAAATGTATTATGCAGGGGCTAGGGTAGGGAATTACTGTGTTTTTGCAGGGTTTGGGAGACCTCCCATGGCCATGTTACATTTTGGACGTGTTGATCCCTGCGATTTGCGATGCTTGTGCACGTATGTAAAATGTAACATGCAAGGACCAGGGTAGGAAACTACTGTGTTTTGCAAGCTTGGGGAGCCCTCCCATGGCCATGTTACATTTTTGATCTGTAGATCCCTGCGATTTGCGATGCGCGATGATGCGTATGCGCGTATGTAAAATGTAACATGCAGGGGCTAGGGTAGGGAATTACTGTGTTTTTGCAGCGTTTGGGGGCCCTCCCATGGCCATGTTACATTTTCGACCTATCAATCCCAAAGACCCTAAGATTTGCGATGCGCGTGCGCATATGTAAAATGATGTAAAATGTAACATGCAGGGGCTAGGGTAGGCAAGTACTGTGGTTTTTGCAGGGCTTGGGAGCCCTCCCAGTGCCATGTTACATTTTGGACCTATTAATTATTAATCCCTAAGTTTTGAAAATCTAAGATGCAGGGCCCGGGTTAGGAAAACTTAGTGTTTTGCATTACTCAAAGTGGGGCGTCTGGGCATTCATGGGCATTCGTAATTCAAAGGCTGCCTTGAAAGGCCTTGAAAAAAATGGGATTGGAAATGAGTGGAAATATTTTCAGAAATTTGGATGTTATCAGAAACCCCACGTTACTTTCCAGTAGGAATGCATGTTGCACGCGCGGATGAGCTCTTGGCACGAAGGAGGGAAAAAAAGGCTTTACGTATCTTTACGTGCTTGAGACCTCAACTGGACATGTTACATTTAAAAAATGTAACATGTTTCTTTAGGTATGTTGAATGTATGTTGATCTGTCTTGGAGGCTATAAAGACCTAAAAATGTAACGTTACATTTTTACGTCTCTTAGATCTATATGGGGTTACATATGGTAGTTTACGTACTTAAGATGTGGAAAATGCAGAATTTCCAAAACCTGCATTTTGAGCATATGGAAAATGCATGTTACATTTTCTAGGTCCCCCCCGTCTAAGGTAGCAGGGATATTCAGAATGAAAAATTCAACATTTGGTGCGCGGTTGATGTGTATGCGTAAGTCTTCTTACGTATATCGATGATGTATCATATTGTATTATGATGTACATTTATGTACAATATATATATATATCATGTTTTATTTTAAGATTAAAGAGAGAGAGAGATATATATATATATATAGGTGGATGTGTGAATAACTAGAGTTCCGAATAGTTCAGACGTGATTCAACATCATTCTGATGTGCTCGGGGCTGTTGGGTTTCCCACTGTTTCAATTTCAATTTTCCCAGTTGCCTTAGCATTTATCCAACGAGCCAGGTTTCTGTGGGTCAGAACACTGGACTCAATGAGGGGCTTGTCGATGACTGGGTCGTAGACATTGGGTTGCTCGGTCGCAGACCTTCACACAGTCAAGTCATACCACAGCGTCCAAACATTTCTATGTATGCATTTCTGATAGATTACGATACTAAAATTAAGCATAATTAATTTGTAGGTTGACCAGGATCTTTGGCTGGACCTTAGAAGTAGACTTAGATCACTTGGAGCGTGCATGTTCAGAATAGACTTGCCTGGTGTGAGGTTTGAAGATCCATATCAACACGGATTGGACATGAAGCACATGGATTCATCATGACGTGTCCAGGTTTTAACCTTGGTCCGCAGGGTGGGATGCGCCGCTCGAGCCAGTAGCAGACAAAGGTGTTTGGACCATTCGACGGTCCTGTGCATTCACCATCCGTTGGTGACTGTCCCCATTTGATTGCATCCTCGCTGCCATTGCTACTAATTGCACGGTAGCGGAGCTCCTGCGGGAGCATCCACGCCATGGCAGCATCATCTCCTGGACATGAAGTCCCTAGCTGGTCAGGTGATCCATCGGAGTTTGAGACCTGGCAACAGCTTGCAGATTGAAAAGAGCCATAAAGAAAACGAACGAAAGTCTGCTGCAAGCCGTGTTTGGGCCAAGCTCCATGGACCTGCCAAAGCCGTGGTGAGACATCTGGACCCTGACCTCTATGAAGGCGCTGATGGGTTGACACAATTTGTGGACGTGCTTAGGAAGTCTCCTCTACAGTGTTTGCCCGTCCCCGGCCTCTTCAAGCATGGCATCAGTTGAAGCGTCACAGCAATGAGATTAGTCCGTGAAGAAGATGTGTTTGTGCAGCTGTGGGGTTCTTTGGAAAGGGCTCGCAACGAGAGACACGCTGATCCCGTTGCTCAGGTTTCTGGAAGTTCAGATACTCAGTGTGGTCCTCCATCGACACCATCACAAAGCCCAATTGGGCGCAGCGCACCGAGAAACGGCAACAACAGCCGAAGATCCGTCAGCCGGACACGCGACGTCAGCCAGAAACGTGAAATCAGTTGCAATGACAGATTTCTTCAGTGATGAGTTGCGTGGATATCGTCTGATTAAGGGTTCACGTTTGACAGCAGCAGACCAGCAGAACATTTTGGTGCAAACTCAAAATTCCACTGCCTTTTTCTCAGTGCGTCGAGCGCTTCAAACTATGTTTTCTGATGAGGATGATGGGTCTGGTGGAATGAAGAATCGATAGATGGACGGGAGTATGATGATGCATGGCCTGGTGATGGTCACGATCCAGGGCACTACACATGGTGGTATGGCGATGAGACAGATGATGATGCTGATGATGATGATGATGATTTTTTGATGATGATGATGATGATGATGGTGGTGGTGGTGGTGGTTCAACATGGAACGCATACTATGGTGACTGGACTGAAGATTGGCAATGGGAGGAAGCTGAAGATGTCCCTGTAGATGAGCAGATTGCTGATGCAGCTGAGGTGCAGTACAAAGAAGCGTTTGCATTGGCCAATGAAGCAACCGTCATTCTGAATGAAGCAGAAGCCGTGTGCAACGTTCGAGCAGCTCGTGGCTATTTTGCTCCTGAATCTGCGTCTGGCAAAGGAATCTCTGGCTCCCCAAGCTCTTCTAAGTCGTCATGGTCTCCCAAGGGCTCCAAGACTGGCAAGGGCAAGCTTCTAGGTGCTGCAAAGGGCAAAGGATTTGGACCTTGTTTCATTTGCGGAATGAAAGGTCATAGCTATGCACAGTGTCCCGACCGATTTTCCAAAGGAAAGGATCAGTTTAAAGGCAAGGGTTTCATGTCAAAGGGAAAGAGTGGAAAGGGCCAAAGTTTTTCCAAGTCTGTTCAATACCACGACTTGAATTGCCTAGCCTTTCCTGGTGTTTACGTTGCCGAAGCAGCACAGCGTAGCCGTGTGATCCTGGACACTGGCGCCTCTGAAAATGCCGTGGGCATGGAATCTTTGCAGCGTTTGGTGACTGAGACCAATGCAGTTTTTAAGTTATTTGTAAGATTGACATCACAGACCAACCTGTTTTTCGTTTTGGCAATGGTCAACATCTCCAAGCTTTAGCCGTGTGGACATTCACAACACTTCCCTGGGTTCTGCTTCCTTCTATGTCTTGGGTGGAGATGCATGTTTGACACCGCAGCTCGGAGCAGCCCTGGCTTACCAGAACAACCTCCAGCTCCATTGCCGTCAGGACCCCCAGCTTCAGTAGTTTGCGGTGAAGATGCACTCACATGCGTCCAGCCATGTTTCAATTGACTTGAGGGAAACAGCAGTTGAAATGAAGGATCCAGGTCTTTGGTTTGTGAATGAAGGTTTTGACACAAGTTTGAATCAGCATGTTCGCAGTGATGTCACAGCCACCTCTTCTGCATCTATTCAATTCTCATGATGTCCAATGCGAGCATCAACCTCTCTGGACAGCTGGGCTCACTGGCTCAAAGACTCCGAGCTCTGTTGAGTACAGTGGTTGCCGCACAGCCTGTGTTGCCACTCTCCAGGTGTGACCGGTGGCGCCTTTGGACTTATAGGCTCTTTGCAAGAGGCTGATCAAGGTGATGAAATTTAAGGTGATGAAGTTCAAGATGATGACGTTCCAGAACAAGGTGAAGGTTCAAGTGGAGCACAAGAAAGTCCTCTTGGAGGAGCTGCTCTACCGAACGTTCCTGCGATCAGTCCTTTGACAACAGCTTTGCAGACACGTGGAGCTGATGCAGTGGATGGAGTTCCTGCACAAGTTAATGTTTCCTCCGGAACAACCTGTTCCGTTGATGCATGTCAACTTCCAGGTGGACATCATGTGCCCCATGAAGATGGAGATGGTCAAGAGTTCACCTGGAATGTGCACCAAGGACGACAAAACCTTGGTGAAGATGATGGAGCTGACAACTCTGAGGAGACAGACAGTTCCTGCCTCCGGCTCAGATAGCTCTGCCGAGCTTTTGATGGACAACCCCCCTGCGAGCAAGATCTACAACAATGAGACCGATGCCAAGCACACTACTACGAAAGAATGTTTCGGTGCTCTTGAAAGTGAGATCGGTCCTTCAGAGCTCAAGTACCTCTCCAAGAACACCGATGGTTGGAGCATATGGCTGTGACTTGTAACCAAAGATGATGGAGAAGGGCAAAGAGAAGTTGGTCACAGATGGACGTGGAGGAGAAACAACGCTTTGACATGGCCCAAGCCAAAGAATTGTCGAACGTTTTGAGTTTTTTGAAAGCGCTTCGCAGCCTCACCAGCCAAGATGGAAGGCCTTGATCCATCTACCGTGGCCCAAATGCGCTGGGTACTCAAGGTGGAGTCCGACAGAAGTGCCAAAGCAAGGTTGGTTATCCTCGGTTTCCAACTTAGCAACATAACAGAGCTGGACTATAAAAGATACCTCCCAACACGACCCATTGTCGGCGCTGCAGTGTCCAGGACACTGCAGCGCCGACCACGACCCAGAAGGTGTCTTTTACTTTCCCTTCGTGCCAACAAAGGCTACCTGCTGAAAGCCGGAGATGTCACATCGGCATTCCTCCAGGTGGATGAGAATCTCAAACCGTTGGGATGACAGTGTGGGCACCGGCTGAATTGGCCGTATTGTTCTGTGCCGATCCCCAACATCCAGTTCCACCTCTTCGTGTCCTCAAAGCATTTTATGGTTTGGTGCAATCCCCACGATTCTGGTACATGGATGTTTCTAGCCTGGCAAGATGATTAAGCATGGTTGGAAGTGCCTCCTTTCAGACCGCTGTAGATTCATTTTGGAAGACGAGGAGACGCACGAAGTGATTGCAGCAGCTGGCATACACGTGGCGATAAAGAGCATCCTAAGTTTCAGCAGGCGGAACTTGCATGTGGGGTAAATGGCAAACTGGTGAGATGACTCTTGCTGGATGTCACATTGTCCAGCTTGCTGATGGAAGTTTGCGCATTGACCAGCAAGAGTATGTTGACAAATGGCTTGGTGAAATTCCTTTGACAAAGGAAAGACAATGACAGCCAAAGGCAAGTTTGACTCCAAGAGAAGTTTCTCTGCTGCGTGGTGCAATAGGCACACTAGCTTGGAAATCAGCTCAAACAGGGCCACAATACCAAGCTGAAGCTGGTTTGATTCTGCTTCTATCTGAGATTCCCTATGCGAACGTGCTCACCATCATGAAGGTGAACAAGCTCATCAGAGAAATCAAGAGGGCTTCGCATCAGAGTTTGCCTTTTCCAGGTTGGAAGAGACATTGGAAGGAGATAGCGGTTCTGACCTGGTGTGATGCAGGACTGCAAAATCATCCGGATAAGTCATCCACAATGGGTTTCATCTCTGGTCTAGCGCCTCAAGAAACCCTTCAAGGGCAAGAAGCTTTGGTTGCGATCATCACATGGCGTTCCAGCAAAACGCCGCGTCAATGTCTTGGATCTAATGGTGCAGAAGTTCAAGGTGTTACAGAAGGTGAAGACGCAACATTCAAATTTCGAGCAATGTGGATGGAAATCAACGGTGTCGCTGCTGACAGAAGGACACTCTATGACCAGATTCGTGACAACACCCAAGGTATCAAGGTGCTATCATCACGGACACCAAGGGTATCTACAACAGCATGGTTCGCAATGTTTCCAGTATACATGGCTTGAGATCCCGGTACGAACTGACGCTTGCGGTTCAGCAAGCGATGCAGATTAAGACTGGAATCTGTTGGGCCAACGGGTTGGCACTGACTGTCCGACGAAAGCCAATGAGAGGAAGGTTTTTCTCCAATTTCTGGCAGCTGGGAAAAGTAAAGATGGACATGGAGTTTAAAATTATAGGATGCGTGCGTGAAATGGCCATGAAATCACGTTGGCCTTGGCAGGACAATCATGATGAACCCAGAAGTATTGTGGATGTGTGATTCGAAGATCCATATCAACACGGATTTGACATGAAGCACATGGATTCATCATGACATGTCCAGGTTTCAACCTTTGTCCGCAGGGTGGGCCAGTACCAGAAAAAGGTGTTTGGACCATTTGACGGTCCTGTGCATTCACCATCCGCATCCATCCATTGGTGACTGTCCCCATTTGATTGCATCCTCGCTGTTCCGTTGCCACTGCTACCACTTGCACCTGGCCTTGAGAAAGAACAGGATTGCTTTCGTGAAACCTTTGAGCATCTTTGAACTATATTGAACTACTGCAGACCCCTAGAGCTGAAACAATGCGGAAACAAAGCTGAGTTCGGGAAACACCTTGCCTTCGTTCCGTATCTAATTGTGTGATGTGTGGTCGGAGACGTTGTAGCTGAGGAATGTGAACTGTGGGGATCTGATGGTGTCGTATGGTAGTGGAGATGACCCAGAGCTTTTGTTGGAACGGAGCCGAATGCCTGATGAATGGCGTGGCAGAGAGGAGCCTGCTCCTTGCGGATCGCTAGAAGCCAAGTGGGTGCCATCATCTTCCGTTCTGTGGCTGCGAAAAGATGTTGAAAGCATTCAGCAATCGACAGCACAATCACTGAAAAACTAATCAAAGACAACTCAGTAATACTGTGGACATTTTGACATCTTGCATGTCTACACTACTTGTATGTGTATGTACAACTTTAGACTCTTACAGAATATAAAGCATTAATGCAAATCATATATGTATGTACATGGCAAGCAGATTCTAAGCACTCTATGACTCTATGCATGGTGGAAGTTGCAAGGGCGTAGAGGTCGAGGATCGCCGTGAGGAAAAATGTATCTTTTGCCCAACGACTGATGATGCTGATGCAGAAAGCATCAAGGAGCATCAAGGAGTTTCAAGAAACATCAAGAAACATGTATATAGACATGTATATAGACATGTGTATGTACGTATGATTACGTATGTATGTATCATATTTGAACAAAAAATGAATCATTGAGATTCATAGTTGCAGAGTTGCTTGCTGCTTTGGGATTCCTTTTGTTGCATCCCAGGTAAAATTCCCTTGGGAGGACGTGGTCTTGACTTTGAGTCTGTCCGGGTGATATGTGACATAGAAAGAATTAGCAACTGGCCGCCTGGCCAGAACCTACCAAAGACAATAAAAGAACATGGCATTGTGAAAATATGATCCGCGTTGCGTACCGATATTTGGCTCATTATACTTGGGACTTCGGACTGAGAACGACGGAATCCGTGCAGCAATTCTTTGTGCATGCATGTTTCCAAGTTTATTTGTGCTGCCACTGCCGTTTTCAAATTGTGCAGGAGGAACCATGCAAGGCAGCTGCAAGCCCGTGCATTTGCGCATCCATTCGCGCTTGTAGAGACTCGACGACTTAATGGTGCCAACTCATGTACATTCAAAGAAGTTTGACACCTTCCTGGGCAGGAAAATGATGCACTTTGCAGACGAGAACACAAAATGCTGCAGAACTGAAAATCGAAAGTGCATGCAGACAATAACAGGCGGACCAGCAAGCAAGATGTATATATTTGCATATATATATATAAATATAGTTAGCGCAGATGACACGGGACATTGCGGCCGATTTAGCCGAGGTTTTTTGGCACATGACATGGGATTTATGTATCGATTTTGCTATGTTTTTTTGCACATGACATGGGAGTTTTTCGCCGACCTAACGGGCAGGTATTTTTCCATTTTTTTGACAGATGACATGGGCATAAGTGATCAAATTTACACATGACATGGGACTTCCAGGAAAACACAGACGTCCAAGATGGGAAGTGGCAGATAATGAGATGGAAAGCCGAATTTACCACAGGACATGGGACGTCCAAGATGGGAAGTGGCAGGTCATGAGATGGGAAGACGAATTTACCACAGGAGATGGGACTTCCAAAATGGGAAGTGGCAGGGAATGAGATGGGAAGACGAATTTACCACAGGAGATGGGACGTCCAAGATGGGAAGTGGCAAGTAATGAGATGGGAAGACGAATTTACCACAGGAGATGGGATATCCAAGATGAAAAGTGGCAGGTAACGAGATGAGAAGACGAATTTACCACATGACATGGGACTTCCAAGATGAAAAGCGGCAGGTAATGAGATGGGAAGACGAATTTAGCACAGGAGATGGAACGTCCAAGATGAAAAGTGGCAGGTCATGAGATGGGAAGACGAATTTTCCATAGGAGATGGAAGAATGTCCAAGATGGGAAGTGGCAGGTAATGAGATGGGAAGACGAATTTACCACAGGAGATGGGACTTCCAAGACAAAAAAGTGGCAGGTAACGAGATGGGAAGATGAATTTACCACAGGACATGGGACTTCCAAGATGAAAAGCGGCAGGTAATGAGATGGGAAGACGAATTTAGCACAGGAGATGGAACGTCCAAGATGAAAAGTGGCAGGTCATGAAGGGAAGACGAATTTTCCATAGGAGATGGAATGTCCAAGATGGGAAGTGGCAGGTAATGAGATGGGAAGACGAATTTAGCACAGGAGATGGGACTTTCAAGGTGAAAAGTGGCAGGTCATGCGATGGAAAGACGAATTTACCACAGGAGATGCGAAGTGGCAGGTAATGAGATGGGAAGACGAATTTACCACAGGAGATGGGACGTCCAAGATGGGAAGTGGCAGGTAATGAGATGGGAAGACGAATTTACCACAGGAGATGGGATATCCAAGATGAAAAGTGGCAGGTAATGAGATGTGAAGACGGATTTACCACAGGAGACGCGACTTCCAAGATGGGAAGCGGGAGGTAATGAGATGGGAAAACGAATTTTCCATAGGAGATGGGACTTCCAAGATGGGAAGTGGCAGGTCATGAGATGGGAAGACGAATTTACCACATGAGATGGGACGTCCAAGATGAAAAGTGGCAGGCGATGAGACGGGAAGACGAATTTACCAAAGGAGGTGGGACGTCCAAGATGGGAATGTCATGAGATGGGAAGGCGAATTTACCACAGGAGATGGGAGTTCCAAGATAAAAAAGTGGCAGGTAACGAGATGGGAAGATGAATTTACCACAGGACATGGGACTTCCAAGATGAAAAGCGGCAGGTAATGAGATGGGAAGACGAATTTAGCACAGGAGATGGAACGTCCAAGATGAAAAGTGGCAGGTCATGAAGGGAAGACGAATTTTCCATAGGAGATGGAATGTCCAAGATGGGAAGTGGCAGGTAATGAGATGGGAAGACGAATTTACCACGGAGATGGGACTTTCAAGGTGAAAAGTGGCAGGTCATGAGATGGGAAGACGAATTTAGCACAGGAGATGGGACTTCCAAGATGAAAAGTGGCAGGTAATGAGACGGGAAAACGAATTTTCCACAGGAGATGGGACTTCCAAGATGGGAAGTGGCAGGTCATGAGATGGGAAGGCGGATTTACCACATTACATGGGACTGCCAAGATGAAAAGTGGCAGGTAATGAGATGGGAAGACGAATTTCCCGGTTTACTTTAAAACATAAAGAGGACACAGAAAATGTAGAAAATATAAGCTTAGTTTTGTTTTGAAAGCGGGTAGTCATGGGGGGCGCAGTTGTGAAGGCTTTGATTTTGTGATTTCTTTGGCCTTCAGAATTGGCATGATGATAAAGTGGTGGCAACTTTTTACAAGTATGAAATAAATACACTTTCATTCAAAAAAACAGTGGGTATTTCAACTATGTACTGTACAGTTTCTTCATTTTTTTAAAGTACTTGCACTTTAAAAGAATTTTCCTTTTGAAAGTACAGCCTCATTTTTAAAAAAGAACACCTTCTTTCAAGGAAATGCTGGGCTTTTAAACTATGCACAATTTCTTCATGTTTGTGAAGTAAGTGCACTTTTAAATGCACTTTCCTTTTGAAAATGCAGCCTCACCTTCGAAGAAAAACGCATGCTTTCAAAAAAATACCGGACATTTGAACTATGTGCAATTTCTTCATTTTTTGAAGTAGGTGCATTTTTACAGGCGCTTTCCTTTTGAAATTGCAACCTTATTTCAAAGAAAAACGCTTTGTTTCAAAAAAACACCGGGCTTTAAACTATGCACCGTCTCTTCATTTTTAAGAAATAAGTGCCAATAAGTGCCATTTTAAGGGCGCTTTTTTTTTGAAAATGCAACCTCATCTTCAAAAAATGTACCTTCTTTCAAAAAAATACGGGGCATTTGAACTATGTACAATTTCCCATTTTTTGAAGTAAGTGTACTTTTAAATGCATTCTCGTTTTGAAAAGCAACTTATATTCAACTTCTTTCAATTAAATACCGGGATTCTGAACTATGTGCAATTTCTTCATTTTTTTGAAGTAAGTTAACTTTTAAAGGCAATTTCCTTTTGAACATGCAGCTTCATCTTCGAAAAAAACATTTGCTTTTCAAGAAATACTGGGCATTTGAACTATGTGCAGTTTCTTCATTTTTTGAAGTAAATGCACTCTTAAATGCACTTTTCCTTTTGAAAAGAAAGCAGTTTCATCTTCAAAGAAATACGTCTTCTTTCAATTAAATACCGGCCTTCTAAACTATGTACAGCTTCTTCAAAAATATATTCATGCATTTTTTGAATCTAATGCACCCTGAATTCCTTTAGTAAATAATTGCAGAAGCACATACTGCGTTCCTTTGAGAGACATGAGGTGCAAATACCTGTGCATACACATCTATACATATTATTCTTCTAAAGCATAGCATGTTTTAGTTAAAATATTCACTGTGCTGTATCCAATTTGTGAGAAAAAGATTGTTGTTTTTCAAGAACATACTGGTAAATTTAATTATATATGTTTCAACTAACGTCGCGTTTTTCATTTTAATTCAGCCGAAGAAAGAAAGTGGGAGAATTGTACCAAGCATTTCTAGTAAACAATCGGTGGGGGGGAAAATGGCATTTTTGTTAGCAAATACATGTCCATTAAAAAAACGGGTTTTTATTAAAAAACAAAACCTCGAGAAAACCAAAAAAAACAAAAAGTTCAGACCCATGAACATGGTCTGAGGAAAGGCTGGACAGAGGACATGGATCTGAACTTTTGTTATTTTGGGTTATTTTGGTTTTGCCATGGTTTTTGCAGTTTGGCCAAAACCACGAGAAAACCAAAAAACAAAAAAAATAGACCCATGGACAGGGTCTGGGGAGAGGCCTGGCAGGGGACATGGGTCTGAACTTTTGTTTGTTTTTTTGTTTTCCCATGGTTTTTTTTGCAGTTTGGCCTGGGGGCGCAGGTGTGCAAATTGTAGAAACGCGCATTTTTTGAGAGGTACTGTCTTTCTCTTCTCTGATCTTCTCTCTTCTAATCTTTCTGTTCTCTCTGCCTCTGCCCTGCTCTGCTTTTCATCTGTCCATATTGTCGGAAGTTTGACTTCTAAACTTCCTTCGATAAAAATAAATACATAGCAATATATACATATTGCCCACATAATGTCATGCCCTCATAATACATCATTCCCAGTATGTTTGTTTCAATGGTAGGACTGGCCAAGCTTTGACCATCTTGGTTGCCAAAGCAGAGGTGCATTGCATTCATGTTGCATTGCCACCATGTGTGCCCAAGCATCCAAAAATTGCTGCACACCATGCAGGACATGGATAGCCCCACAGAGCCAAGCAGCCCTGCAGACCAACCACCCATCCCACCCAATCCAGGTACACCAAGAATAGAAAGCATGCCAGTGCCTTTGCCAGCAGGCACAGAAGGACCAAAGGTACCCAACTCACCGCCAGAGACTGTCCAGGCAGAAGAAGCCACACTCATGCCAGTACCAGCTTCTGCAATCCCAAGCCCAGCAACACCCGCCAGCAGTACAGACACACCAAGATTGAGGAAAAAAGCCAGGGCCAGCTCACCACAACAGGAGCTGGCGTCCACAGAGCCAAAGGCACCACCCACAGCCACAGTGGGCAGTACAACCACCCAAGCCAATGGCAGCCACTGCTGCACCAACAGCCAGGCCAGCCACAGAACCAGTGCCAGTCACATCAACAGCCAAGCCAGCACCAGTGCCAGCTACAGCAACATCCACAGCCAAAGCAACCAATGTGGTGCCAGCCACATCAAGATCCACAGCCATGCCAACCACACCAAAGCCAGACACAGCAACATCCACAGGCAAGCCAGCCACACCATTGCCAGCCAAAGCAACATCCACAGCACCAGCCAAGGCAACAGCACCATTGGCAAGACAACCACCCAAACAAATGGCAACCACACCAGTCACACCAGCCAAGGCATACCCTGCACCATCCATGATGCCACTAGCACCCAAGGCACCCTCAAAGGGATCCATGGGGCCTAAGTCGCCTCCAAAGGCTCCAGCTGCCAAGGTTTGCATAGCACTTAGTGCTTTGTTTAATGTCTAATCCATATCTTGTAACATTTTGGTTGATTCATTCCATAATGATATTGCCAGATGCAACGCCTGTTTATGCATATGTGGAGGCCATGAGTTCCAGCAGTTCCAGTGCCATAC